TTTTGCTCTGTTTTTCTGATTTAAATGAGTTAATTTTTTCCATGAGAAAAAAGTTTTTCTCTGTTTTTCTGAATTAATTAGTTAATTTTTCATGAGAAAATATTTTTTTCTCTGTTTTTCTGATTAATGAGTTAATTTTTCGTGAGAAAAAAAGTCTTTGCTCTGTTTTTTTCTGAATTAACTCGTTAATTCAGAAAAACAGAGCAAAAAAAAAAATTCCATAAAAATTAACTCATTAATTCAGAAAAACAGAGAAAAACTTTTTTCTCATGAAAAATTAACTCATTCATTCAGAAAAACAGAGCAAAAAAAAAATTCTCATGAAAAATTAACTCGTTAATTCAGAAAAACAGAGCAAAAAAAAATTTTCTCATGAAAAATTAACTCATTAATTCAGAAAAACAGAGCAATTTTTTTATTCTCATGAAAAATTAACTCGTTAATTTTGTTAACTTGTTAATTTTTTTTCTTCAAGTAAATGCAATACGCCTCCGTAGAATACACTGTTTACAGCCTATAAAAAATGTGTGTGTGTGTGTGTAAACTGTGAACAATATGATTTTGCTTTTGAAATAAGTCCCTTACATGCTACAAGGCTGTAATTATTTTATGAAAAATACAGTAAAACAGTATTTTTGTGAAATCTTAGTATTTTTTCATTTAAAAGAATCACACACAAAAAACAAGCAGCCTAAAGTGTAACAAAGAACAATTATTAATAATTGAGCATCAATAACAATTGAGCAGCAAATCATCATATCAGAGTGATTTCTGAAGGATCATGTGACACTGAAGACTGAAGTAATGATGATGAAATTCAGATTTTGATCACAGGAATACATTTCATTTTTAAATACAGTATATATAAACTCTGTTTAATGTATTTTTTAATCAAGTCTTGGTAAGCATTAGAGACAAAAAATAATTCAATTATTTATTCTCTTAATTATTATTTAAAAAAAAAATCTTAATTTTCCAAACTTTTGAGCAGTTACAGTGATGTAAATAAGTTAGGACACCCATGCTAAAGTTGTCTAAAAAGAGGAATAAAAAAATCATCTTTTGGATATTGATCTTAATGCCTTAATTAGAAAAATGAGGAAAACTCCAACCTTTAAAGTCCCCGTGAAATCAAAATTGAACCTATTTACTTTGTTAGCGCATATTACTAGTCTTGTGGTGAACAATTAATCCGTGCAAGTGAATATATATTTAAAAAATGTTTTACCTTAGTAATCTTTAATCAAAATCTGAAAAGTTACTTCCGGCCTGGAACGGTTTCTTTTTCTGATAACGTAGGCTTCACAGTTTGGGTGGGGAACGCGTAACCACTCCCCTCAAAACCGTTAGTTTACTATGAGCGAGAGATGGAGAGGGGAGCGCTAGAGTAAAACCCTGCCCTCTGTTCATATTCCGTTTCACTTGGAATACGTCACAGCACTGGAGAAAAATCGTTGCAACTTCGGTTCACGGGACTTTAGGACACCAATTTTCTTTGTGAATGAATAATGTATCATAAATAAATAAATGTTCTTCTTAAAATACAGGTGCATAAGTCAGGGCACCCCTATGTTAAATTCCCTTAGAGTCAGGCAGATTTTTATTTTTAAAGGACAGTTATTTCATGGATCCGGGATAATACGCATCCTGATAAAGTTCCCTTGGCCTTTGGAATTAAAATATCCTCACATCGTCACACACCCTTCCTTCACCACACCTAGAGATTGGTTTTATTTCAGTTCAGCTGGTTTGATTTGCATTGAAAAATGATCTTATGGAAAGTACACAATGCCAGGTGTGGTGACGCCAGGGTGTGTGATAATGTGGGGATATTTTAATTCCAAAGGTCAAGGGAATTTTATCAGGATGCGTATTATCCCGGATCCATGAAATAACGCTTTTAGAAATAAAATCTACTTGACTCTAAGGGAATTTAACATAGGGGTGTCCTGACTTATGCACCCTGTATTTTATGGAAGAACATTTATTTATTTATGATACATTATTCATTCACAAAGAAAATTTGTGTCCTTAAAGGTTGGATTTTTCTCATTTTTTCTAATTAAGGCATTAAGATCAATTTCCAAAAGATGATTTTTTATTCCTCTTTTTAGGCAACTTTAGCATGGGTCTCCTAACTTTTATTCAAATCACTGTATATACCAGTATATTTAACAAACAAGCATTTAATCATAATAATCAGGAAATACATGTGAAATAACAGTGTTTTTTTTTTTTTGGTTTATTTAAAATAGAATATTTTGCTTTAATTTTATGGTTTTTGTTTGGCAGCCGTACCTGCCAGTCATTTGACCCTTTTTTACATTTTTTGTACAATGAAGGTATTTGATCATAATAATGCAGGAAATACCTGTAAATAATAGTGTTATTTAGTTTATTTGATTTAGGATGTTTTACTTTAATATTGTAGTTTTTTCGGGAGGCTGCCAGTCATTTAAACATTTTTTCATTTAATTTTTTAATACAGAGATTACTTACAGATGTTAATACATGCAGGTGATTTTTAAAATGTAAGTACAATGTAAAAACTTGTATGCACTCAGTAAGTGTACTGTATAAATTAATAATTTAAATGTTAGTAGACATCATTAAGTGGGACCAAAGTTTTTAGTTTTAAATCTTTAATTCGAATACATTTTTTTGAGTCAAAAATATATTCGAATTAAAGTCATTTTTGAATCTCTGAATTTTATCGTTTAATTAGCCTACAGATTATATTTTTTGTAATTTTACATACATTTTTATGTAATTTAAGAAAACAGAAAAAATACTGTATGAAAAATACAATACATTTTCTGGATAAAATATGTGAATGACTGGAATTTGTCATTAATTTCACAATACCTAAAAAAAACAGCTGCATTTTTATTTTACAGATATTACTTTTATAATTTTACAGTGTTTTGAGTACAATTTAAAATGAAAGAAAATGATCATCAAAAAAATCACAGTTTTTTTTCTTTTAAAATTAGATTTTTTTTTTCTAATCTACGCAGCAATAATGTTATGAAACTGACTTATCTTATTACTTATCTTATCTTATCTGTGGTAATGAACACTGTTATACCACAAAACTTTAAAATACATCTAAACTTACATTTAATTGGATTTCTTTATTAAAGCTAGACACAATTCAATTTTTTTTTTACTAAATTTTTAGGAAGCCACATAAAAAGAGATTTGTTACCGCCACTATTTTGAACAGACGGTCATACGCCTCCTTCTCCTCACTCTTATTGGTCATGATGTCACACAGCTCAGCGATGCTGAATGCGACCCCCTCCTCGTTGTATTGGACAGTTCCCATGAATATATCAGCCAAACTCTGCAACAGCTCCGTTTTGTCCTCCGCTTTCAGAGGGGTCTCACAACAGCCGAAGTCTTTCCCCACCTGGGTCTCATTCCCCATGAGCAGAGCCGCCTCTACCGCTGCAAACACTCCCTTCACTTCGGCTACACACTGAGCGAGCACACACACACACACTCAGATACAGTAGACACAGATAAATTCATAGCAATCCTAAATGTGCTCTTACCTTTTCAGAGCCACCCACTGCCTCATTCGTAAGACTAGAAGCAACCACCTGCAAAATAAAGGTTTCAAAGCCAAAACACACAAGTTATGCAATAATAACTAAACGGTTTCTGAAAAGAGTTTGCCAAATTGGTGTTTGTTAGTGTTGGGAATCCTATGCAGCGAGTTTAAGCCTCTCCTAATATGGGAGTCACACTTGAGTTCTGATTGAAAGTTATCTTTTTTTTTCCCTAATATTTTTATTATTCAATTAAAGCAGTACTTAAAATCCAAATTTTAAGGCAGATTAGTGTCATCAGTTCGGTAGCAGTAAAAAAAAGAAAAAAAAAACACACACATTTGATGTCATGTTGTAACTAGACGCCTCTATTTTAAAGAGGCTTGTAAATTCTCTAGTTGTTTTTAAACATAATACTTACTTTTATTAGGTTGTGGATTTGAAAATATGTTATATTAGACAATCTCAAAGTCTATTTTTTTAGAAGGTTTAGATATTTGAAATTTTTCAAACAAAAAAGTCAGTTATTGCATTGTTGTTACTTATAATAACGCAAAAACTAACTCATCAAAGAAACATTTGACGAGTCATTAACCTGAACACAGAGAAAGCATTTACATCAAAATGTAATAAAAATGTAACAAAATGCTCTAAAAATGTTTTCAACCTTTCATTTGAGTCTTCTGGCTTAATTTTTCCATATTGTTACAGCTAGACCAGCCCATTTGTGTGTGTGTCATAAAAGTCACCAAGTTTTCGTACCATTCTGAAGATGCTATGATTTTCTCAAATTTTCAAACCTTAATTATTTTGGTCAAGTGACCGAAGTGCACCATAGAATTGGGGAAAACAATGCATATTAAGTTCCTTTATTCACACGATTTCCAACATTTCTGTGGATAGAAGTGAGTTCCACCAGTATCCTGCCATAATAAATACTTGAAGATTTGAACGTTTGAAAGTGAAGAATTTAAAACATAAATGTTAGTATTGTGACTTGAGATGTAAAATAAAATAATTATTAGGCCTATAGTTTTATCAAATGTTAATTCTTTTTTTTTTTTTGTATTTTACAGGACAATTGTACAATAGGTACTTGACAAGAATGAAACGCTCACCCTATTGTAAGAGCTGAAGTCCAGCTGAGCTTGAACGGGGGCGGAGGACGCCACTGCTCCATAGATAAGATGAGGAAACTAGAGGAGAAACACATTCTGCAGTTTCACTCAATGAAAAAGAGCATTTTTGTACATTTCTTTAGTGTTACAAAAAAAAAAAAAAAAAACTATAAGAAAATGATGACAGAATTCGGTAACACTTTACATTAAGCTTCCATTTGATCGTTGCTTCCAATTAATCGTTGCCCATGCAGCACTAATTATAATCTTTAATATTATTGTACGGCCTTGAGCTAACATGAACAAACAATAAACACTCATATTTTTATTAACGTTAACAATGATTAATCAATTCTACTCATGTGCTTATTGTTATTAATTAATGATAACTAATGGGTCCTTATTGTATAAAGTGATACACAGATTTTTTTTGGTTAACTATAACTATAGACCTTGGAGGAGATTTGATGACTCTAAAATGTATTAAAAACTTCCACTTAATGATGTCTACTAACATTTAAACTATTAATTTATACAGTGCACTTAATGAGTACATACATGTTTTTAAATTGTACTTAGCCTACGTTTTAAATTCACCTGCATGTATTAACACCTGTAATTAATCTCTGTATTCACATCTGTAATTACACTGTTGATAAGGGGCGTAAAGATACCCTCATGTCACGATTCGATACATATCACGATACCCAACTCACGATACCACATTGCGATACTCCAAGACATATGGGAAAAGATTAACAAAAAAGTACTATTGATTAAAATGCTAAATTTGTATTACATTGTGTGTGTAAATTAATAGGATTTGACTTGGTACTGAAACCCAAAGAACAGAACAATAGAGACACCAGAATAACAATATTCATGATTCTGAAGCTGAAAACACAGAATTATTTTAGATGAATATGCTGGCGCTGTTTCACTGACTAGATATATTTAAAATATTGTCGGCCACTTTTTACTGGTAACAGATATTTGGCATTATCAGGACCCACGAATATTCCCCCATTGCAATTATTATACATTATATATTCAACATTATATATAGCAGTTTAATGTAGTAATGACACTAAAACTCTGAAAACTAGATATAATAATTTTTATTTTGGGTGAACTATACACAATACGTATTGTCACTATCCACGATACATATTGATGTATTTTATTATTACGATATATTGTGACATCCCTATACCGTTGACCCTTACCTTACCCACCAAACCCCGAAACCTGTGCCGAACCTCACCCGTATCCCAGCCGCACAAGTGTAATAAAACAATAAGTGCATGCATTAGTAAAGGCACAGCAACAACACTTTTAGAGAATTGTTTAGGAACAAACCTTTCCTCTCAGCCAGGCCGAGAGAGCTCCAGCATAGGAGCCTCCGAAGCTGATCCAGGCGTTGGCGTGCGAGAGGCCGAAGCGCTGGCTGATGTAGTGCCGGAACGCAGCCAAGTCGGACAAACTGAGACCGGGAAGAGAGGAAACAACATGCATCATTCCTGTCACTGCGATCACCATTGCGATGTGTGAAAGCTCGTCATCATTACGCCTGCTGGCTGGAGAGGTGTCTCAGGGTCTCAGTCTCGAGTCCATCAGGGATGATGCTCTGCCCGTAGAAGCGGTGCTCCAGCGACACCAGCAGTGCCGCGTGCCTCTCCGCCATCAGCACATGGTGCCCTGCAGATCACATGCCTGTGGTAGACTTCACAAAACTAAACAATCAATTTGAATTTAACTTAAACTTAACTTCAAATTTATGTTTAACTTACTTAACTTTAACTTAACTTTACCTTTAACTTAATTTCAACTTCAACTTAACTTCAACTTTACTTCAACTTAACTTTAACTTTACCTTTAACATTACCTTTAACTTAACTTTAACTTAACTTCAACTTAACTTCGACTTTAACTTCACTTTGACTTTAACTTCAGTTTAACTAAACTTTAATTTAACTTAAACTTAACTTTAACTTAAAGGAGTAGTTCACTTTTAAAAAAAAACTTTTGCTGATAATTTACTCACCCCCATGTCATCCAAGATGTCCACGTCTTTCTTTCTTCAGTCGAAAAGAAATTAAGGTTTTTGATGAAAACATTCCAGGATTTTCTCCATATAATGGACTTCAATGGGAACCAAATGGTTCAAGGTCCAAACGAGAGTTTCAGTGCAGCTTCAAAGGGCTTTAAACGACACCAGACGATGAATAAGGGTCTTATCAAGCGAAACGATCGGCCATTTAAAAAATAAATAAAAAAGTTTAAGTTCTATAAGCAAAATTTTTCGCCTTGCTCTGTTCTGTGATGAGCGTTCATGACTCTCCTTTTCGAACTCGTTTATCAAAATGAACGAATCTTTTTTCGAGTCATGACTCGAAGGATCCTAGATAAGACCCTTATTCATGGTGTCGTTTAAAGCCCGTTGAAGCTGCACTGAAACTCTCATTTGGACCTTGAACCGTTTGGTTCCCATTGAAGTCCATTATATGGAGAAAATCCTGGAATGTTTTCATCAAAAACCTTAATTTCTTTTCGACTGAAGAAAGAAAGACGTGGACATCTTGGATGACATGGGGGTGAGTAAATTATCAGCAAAAGTTTTTTTTTAAAGTGAACTACTCCTTTAACTTTAACATAACTTCAACTTTAACTTCAACTTTAACTTTACCTTCAACTTAACTTTAACTTAACTTTAACTTAACTTAACTTAACTTCAACTTTACTTCAACTTAACTTTAACTTAACTTTACCTTCAACTTAACTTCAACTTTAACTTTACTTTGACTTTAACTTTAGTTTAACTAAACTTTAATTTAACTTAAACTTAACTTTAACTTTACCTTCAACTTAACTTTAACTGAACTGAAACTTCAACTTAACTTAACTTCAACTTAACTTTAACTTAACTTACCTTCAACTTTAACTTCAACTTAACTTTAACTTTACCTTTAACTTAACCTTTAACTTAACTTCAACTTTAACTAAACTTCAACTTTAACTTCAACTTTAACTAAACTTCAACTTTAACTTAACTTTAACTTAACTTTAACTTTGACATTAACTTAACTTCAACTTTAACTTTACTTTAACTTAACTTTACATTAAACTTAACTTTACCTTTAACGTAAATTCAACTTTAACTTAACTTAAAATTAACTTCAACTTTAACTTAACTTTAACTTTACCTTTAACTTAACTTCAACGTTATCTTAATTTTAACTTAACTTCAACTTTAACTTTACTTTAAATTAACTTTAACTTAACTTCAACTTTAACTTTACCTTTAACTTAACTTCAACTTTAGAATACTGTTCCTTCATTAATGAATAACTACCACAGGAACAAATAAGTAGTGCACAATCAACACAGTAACTAAACTCTGATTAATGAACGCTATTAAGAAATAGCGTAATAGCAAAATTAAATAACAAAATTAAAAATAGCTCAAAATTAACAGCTCAACAACCCAAAATTAAAATTCTAAAAATTAAAGAATCAATTCAAAGTTAAGTTTAACTTAACTTCAACCTCGAATTGAATTCAAATTTAGAAAACTATTCCTACATTAATAAATAACTACACAGGAACAAGCGAGGAACGCTCTATCAACACTCAGTAACTACTATTAACTAACAAGAAACTCTGATTAACGAATTAGTAAGTAACAACGCTCAGTCTATGTGGTAGTTCACTAGCTATTACTATTTTTCATACCTCACAGAAGACTACTAAGAACTATTATATACAGGTTCATAATTAATATAAATAATCCATAATGTATAATATGAGGTAATGGTAATGCTAACGCATAAGTAACTCAAGTGTTACTACATCCTTATAAACTGCTAATTATTTGGATCAGTTTTCTAATGTGAAAAACATTATAACTTCCTAATATTGACTAAAGTTTTGAGGTAAACTTTTGAGGTTTTTGTGAGATTTTGGATAAAAAAAGTGTTATTACATCTAAAGTGGAAATCATGAGAACACACTAGTAATAAATAAAGTGGAGATCATGAGAACACACTAGTTATGACTAAAGTGTTGCCAAATCCATCAGAAGGAATTACCATTGACAATCTCACAAAAATCTCAAAAGTTTACAATGACAATATTAGTTATGATGTTTTCACTTTAGAAAACTGATCCAAATAATGATAGTCTCTTTAGGAGGATGTAGTAACACTTGCGCCGTTACTAGCGGGCTACCGTCCGTTACCTTTTATTATAAATTATGCATTTTTCATGTTAATTATTAAACAGTAAAATATGTAAAAAAAAAAAAAAAATAGTAGTTACTGAATAGCTAATAGTGAACTACCACATAGACTGAGTGTATCATTCACCAGTTTGTTAATCAGAGTTTCTTGTTAGTTAATAGTGTGTTACTTGTATGTTAGGCTACTCATCTGTTCCGGCTGGTCCATAGACGCACAACCTTTGCTTCATGAACACTCAGTTCTGGACATTTTTTTATTATTATTATTTGTAATGTTCTTCTTTATTTGCAAGCCATTGCTCTGGATAAATGTAAATGCATGTTTTGAGACATCAAGTTATGGCATGTGACGGATGAGTCTATATTGTTAGACTTTGCAGCAGACAGGAAAATGATATTAAGAGCCCTCCCAAAAGTTATAAAATCATGTTGTGTTGTAAATGACAGCATGATGTTTTTTCGACGGATGTTTTTTTAGAGTTGAACTAGTTTTGAACCTGCAACATTTGGCGCCACCCAGTGGATATTTGACCCGAAGCAGCAGCGAGATGGAGGAGGAAGTGATGGGTATTTTTGCTAATAATTTTTCACAGGAGATCAGGTTGAAAGAATCAGAATGACTTCTTTAAAAAAAAAAAAAGGGGGTTCCTAACCGTACAATACACTGAATTTGGAGAGGGGTCCCTCTCCTCCAATGTAGAGAAAGACCGGTCCATCTGAACGCTGCCAATAAACGTCGTTCACAAAGAATTTCTGTGCAGAACAAATATTAATCAATAAATGATGACAAAATAATTGACATGATTAATTAACTAATTTTAATTAATTAAAACAACATTTTATAATAACTTAAATCAGTATTTATTTCACATAATTTTGAATATAGGAATTAAAACGACCCATTTCGGTAACACTTTATAATAAGTTTACAATAATAACGCATAAAGCATAAAACGCATTATTTGACTCCTTACACATGAGCTAATTAAACAATACTATGTTAATGACTATGAATGAAGAGCTCACTATTTTTATATAGCCTATTAGCAATGTAGACAATACAATAGTAAAGATTATTAATTAACTAATTAATACTTACAAATGATTGAAGTACTTTATTAGGCTCCTCCTGTATACTTATTATAAAGTGTTCCCCTGATCGCATGTGGTGAGGACGGGTGTGAGGTCTATAATGTGTACCTGTGGGAAGGTTCTGTCATCCTGCTGGTCAAAGTGGTTCAGGGGTTGGTGGATTGTGCCTGTTTTGGGAATGGCAGTGGACGTGTGTTTTATTCGGGCCTGTTGGATTTTATGCACGTGGTCCTTCATTCGCCATAGAATCTGACCTAGAAAAAAATATATATAAAAACAAGTTTTTATATATTTTGGAAAAAAGTCTCTTCTGCTCACCAAATCTGCATTTATTTTTGATCAAAAATACTGTAAAAAAGTACAGTAATATTGTGAATTATTACAATTTTAAATAATTATTTTTTATACATTTTAAAACATAATTTATTATTTGTGATCAAAGCTGAATTCCAATATCCTGATTTGCTGCTCAAGCAACATTTATTTTCATTTTCAGTGTGGAAATATGCCTGAAAAACATTGATCATTCTTCAACTCTTAAGCACTAACATTATTTCAAACCCATCAAATGACACTAGCAAATGTTGTAATTTTGAAGCTTTGGTGTATATTTACATGTCACACACAATAATTGAAAGAATATTAAAGGGTTAGTTCACCCAAAAATGAAGAACGCGCATGCGTCGTGAGAAATCTAAGGAAATCTCGTTTCTGGCCTACAAGGAAGAAAAGAAATAGTCGAATAAACTCGTTATTTTTGTTTGTTTTTTCGCACAAAAAGTATTCGTGTCGCTTGATAAACATATAGTTGAGCCACGGTAGTCACTTGGGATATTTAAACATTTTCTTCATTGACTTTCTGGGCCGTCAAGAGGCAGTCCCTTAGGAGCCTATGTGGTAGTTATACAGCTCTCAAATTTAATCAAAAATATCTTCATTTGTGTTCCGAAGACGAACGAAGGTCTTACGGGGTTGGTACAGCATGGGGGTGAGTAATTAATGACTTAATTTTCATTTTTGGGTGAACTAACCCTTTAACAACCCAGTAACATTTCTCTTACACTGTAAAAATGAATGCGCTTTATCTAAAGAAAAAAAATTGGGGCAACAGATTACAAGCAACATTATTAATTCAATTTAACAAATTAGAATTGAGTAATAATTATTCAAATGAATAATTCATTAAAAGTAAACCATTTAAAATGAGTAAAACTTACATTTAAGTCGCCTTATGCTGATCGGTGTTTGTTTTAGGTTTCTCCTTCAGTGATTCTGCTTGTTAACGTCAGGTGTCTTCAATGTTGGCAATATAAAATCAAGAGTTCTTAATTAATCTTTGACGTCTATCTGTTATCAGATATTTTTGTTTAATTTTTTGGTGTAAACTTTACTCATTTTAAATGGTTAACTTTTAAGGAATAATTTGATTAATTATTACTTAATTCTAATTTGTTCAGATTAACTAATAATATTGCTTGTAATCTGTTGCCACAATTTTATTGATTAGATAAAGCGTATTCATTTTTACAGTGTGCTTTGTGCTGTCATATATTCTAAATATATTTGGGGTTGAAGGTCAACTATCAAATATCACCATAGCTGGAGCTTAATGAGAGCAATGATGCAAGATTTTTATTAATCATTTTTAAAATAAGTCTCTTCTGCTCACCGAGGCTACATTTATTTGATTACACACAAAAGTAATATTGTTAAATATTATTACAATTTAAAAGAACTGTTTTATATATGAATCTATTTTAAATTCATTCCTGTGATCAAAGCTGAATTTACATCATCATTACTCCAGTTTTCAGTGTCACATGATCCTTCAGAAATCTCTCTAATATGATTTGATGCTCAAGAAAAGTTTATCAATGTCGAAAAGAATTGTGTAAAAACTAATCAGAATTCTTTGAAGTTCAACAGAACAGCATTTATCTGAAATAGAAAGCTTTTGTTACATTATACCGTTCAAAAGTTTGGGGTCAGTAACAATTGTTTTTAAGCATTAAAATCATCATATTAGAGTGATTTCTAATAACGTAATGTTGATTACATACATCCCACTGCTTGGGAGCACTTCGGCACATATATATCTATGGAGTGAGAGGGGGGAGAGGACTTTTCACGAGTGATGATATTACTGCGCCGAGTCGAAATGCTCCCAAGCACTTGCTGTGATATCCGCCATACAATATAGTTATCCACTTTACACGCTTAAAAAAGCGCAACATTTTATTTTGAGACACCGTCCTAGGTCGAGTTACACTGCTCGAGTAACTATGTTTAAATAGGGAAAACGTGGAGGTGTTGGTCGCTTTTCTGCTTGGCCCATATTGAATGAACTGGGCTAGTCAAATGCTATCAAAGTGTATCAACTCGTCTTTGTTAAGGCAATAACATCATTTAATATGTAAAAACAGTGGAGTATCCCTTTAAACAATGGAGAAGTTTAAGTCTTACCGGAGTAAACCAGGTGGAATAGCAGAATCAGAGTTAGCTGTCTCAGCACAGACATCATTGCACCGGATCAAAGAACAGGATTCAGTTGTGATGGTGTCCTGTGTATTATACTTTTATACCCGGCTGGGGAGTCAGTAATGCTATACAGTTCAGTATGTACAGTGCACAGTATGATATAATGAACACCTGAAACCTGGACGCGGAGATCAGCACATGATATCCACGCCGCGATGATGCTCATATTACAAAACCAAACTCAGTTTCTCTTCACACACTGACATGACCTATACACTCATTTTAGCATTTTTTATTTCATTTTAGGTACCTGTACACATTTCGATTTTAGAGTGCATTCAGCACTGAACATGGTTAGCCTTTTTTTGGTTAGTTATCCAGACGTTAAGGCACATTAAATCAAACTTTCATTTTGAATGAACCAGTCCTAGAAAGACTCAACACCAAACCCGTAGAGTTCACTGAATGTGAAGACGGACTTGGCGCTCGCCATCGCGAGGTGTGCTTCAGTAAAACTCGACGGGTGGTGTCGGGTGTGTGGACGCTCAGAGCTTGGAGAAAATGATTTCTTTGAGGCTTTTCTTCTCCATCGCGGCCTGCGCTGACTTCAGTAGATCTTGGGTTTGGAGCATGCTCATATTCCAGGTGCTCTACGCAAACAAACAACGGGAAACACAAGAACAGTTTCTCAGTTTAATCACGGGATGTAAAATGTTGTTACTGTTGTGCATTCACATGCTTTACATCAATCAAGTATAAAAAATGTTAAATCCCTAGTTAAAGGGAATTAAATCACTGTAACAATTAACGGGGATCATATTAAAAAAGATCCTTGGAGTCCCCGCTCTCACTCCCAAATACTTTTAAAGTGCAGAAAAAATACGAATTTATTAACAGTAAGAAATAATGGACAACGTAAACTTCGGGAAGGGTTTAAACGGATAGTTCACCCAAAAATGAAAATTCTGTCAGTATTTACTCACCCTCATGTTGTTCCAACCCCGTAAGACCTTCGTTCATCTTCGTGACACAAATTAAGATATTTTTGATGAAATCTGAGAGCTGGATCACTCCTCCATACTAGTCCATAGGCTTCTTGAGCAATTGAAACTTGCCGGCCTCGAAAAGTTATTAAAGACATCGTTAAAATAGTCCAAGTGACTACAGTGGATCAATCTTAACTTTTATCAAGCAACGAGAACACTTTTTGTGCACAAAACAAACATAAATAACGACTTTATTTCAACTATTTATTTCCTTCTCTCTTGGCCTCGAGCCAAGTTACTAGTTTAATAACGTATGATCAGTCGTTATATGTCACACACATCACACACATGACCAGTGTCGGCCAATAGTGAGCCTACGTGTGACATTTAACTGGCTAGAGGTGCAAAGAACAGGAAGTGAATAGATGAAATAAAGTCGTTATTTACGTTTGTTTTTGCGCACAAAAAGTGTTCTCGTCATTTGACAAAGTTAAGATTGAGCTACTGAAGTCACTTGGACTATTTTAACGATGTCTTTAAAGGACAACTCCGGCGCAAAATTAACCTTTGGTCTAATTACACATTGTTACCTAGTCAACCGTTATCTGAGATTTGTTTTGCCAAATGTAAATAGTTTTATCTCTAAAAACAGTTTAGCCTATAACGCTAGTATAATGCTAGTATATAGGGCATAGAGTAATGACAAATAAAAATCGCTTGTTATTACCACTAACAAGGCTCAAAATAGCCCCACACTAACACGGTAGCATAATAAGGGTCCCTACATTCAAACCGAAGCATTGAGAACTTTGTCAGTGTCCAAACAGTTTAATAAGAAGATATTTTATACACACAGTCAACTTCGCGAATACAGGAAGAAGCCATCTTTGAAAAATAGTCTCTACCAGTCGATCTACGAACGCCGATCCAAGTGCGCTGGTGAGATGTAAATAAGGTGATAAGGTGAGCGCGAACAGTAGGCTATGCGTACATATTGAAGAGAAGAAAACGGTTCGTGTTTGTGTTTCTTCCGAAAACAACGGACCATATGAGATTCTGCACAGTTCAGCGCACTTGGATCGGCATTTGTAGATCGACTGGTTGAGACTATTTTTCAAAGATGGCTTCATCCTGTATTTGCGAAGTTGACTGTGTGTATAAAATATCTTCTTATTAAACTGTATAGACACTGACAAAGTTCTCAATGCTTCGGTTTGAATGTAGGGACCCTTATTATGCTACCGTGTTAGTGTGGGGCTATTTTGAGCCTTGTTAGTGGTAATAACAAGCGATTTTTATTTGTCATTACTCTATGCCCTATATACTAACGTTATAGGCTAAACTGTTTTTAGAGATACAACTATTTACATTCGGCAATCATGAAAACAAATCTCAGATAACGGTTGACTAGGTAGAAATGTGTAATTAGAATTCATTGATGGTGGCGGACTTTTGTGCAGCGTATGAAGTTCACGGATGAAATCTGAACTAGGAAGAGTGTTTTTAAAAAAAAAAAAAAAATTAAACTTTTTTTTTTCTTTCTGGAATCAATGATAAATACATGTCTGACCGTTGGAACAAACCAAAAAAACAAGAAAAATCGCACTCATGATGATTTATGGTGATTTTATTTGCGCTAGACCTGTGTCTACTACATTGACGCTGATGCATTAAAGTGGAGGGGCTCCCCTGTTTCAAGATGGCGGCTCTATTGACGCATTCGTTCTAATGAACTGCCGTATCCAATGTGAGGTCTAGTGTATATGTCTATGGGATTGATCCAGCTCTCAGATTTTATCAAAAATATCTTAATTTGTGTTCCGAAGATGGACGAAGGTCTTACGGGGTTGGAACAACCAACCCGTTCTCACGAGAATTCGTACGAATTTTACGAGGTGGCTAATTTGTAACAATTCATACGACCTCACATTTTGCTAAATCATACATATTTTACGAATTGCCCAATTCGTATGAATTTGTACGAATGACCTACCCCTGACCCTGCCCCTAAACCTAACCATCACATGGGTTTAGACAAATCGTATCAATTCGTCCGAGTGAGGTCGTATGAATTAGTACGAATTTGCCACTTTTGAATCACTCGTACGAATTCGTACGAATTGGTCGTGAGATAGGGTAAGAACAACATGAGGGTGAGTAAATACTGACAGAATTTTCATTTTTGGGTGAACTAACCCTTTAAGCCAAAACATAAATACAAGAAACTATTCATCAGAAACTAATCTAGAAAAGATGACAAAGAAAATACAGAAACGTCCCTTTCTACTAGCATAAACAGGAGAAAATAAAATAACAATAATCCACCTTTTCTTCCTAATGAGCCAACTGCTTTTTAGATTATGGGAGGCACTTCCAGTTTGGGGAATATCCACTGCTCTCCCGATTAAATTTACAATATAACTTGCCTCTCATTGCGTCCGTGCTGATGTTATTTTAGTTCCCATGTACAATCTTGAACTAAGTTTTTCTGTATTTTCCCTTGTTATTCTAAATATTATATTATCATGTCACTACGTTATGTTATATACACTTGTCTGTCCGGATGTTTGGCTGATGTGAGTTGTGATCTCACCATGTAGTCCAGGGATTCTGCAACACTGTGGTCTCTGGAGTAAAGAAGGTTGACTTTGGTTCCCTGCACTCCTACAGGACTTTTGCTGGCGATCTCTCCTGCCATCTCCAGAGCTCCAGCCATCATAGCCTCTTTATCTGGGAACACACGACTGTGGGCAACGAGAGAGAACAAACGAACTTTGATTTTTCATGTAAATATACATTCACCAGCCACTTTATTAGGTTCAACTTGTTAGTACAGGATTGGGCCTCTTTTGCCTTCAGAACTGCTTTAATTCCTCGTGCTGTAAATATTCCTCTGATATTTTGGTAAATATTGACATGATATCATCACACAGTTGTTACAGATTTGTTGTCTGCACATCCATGATGTGAAACTGCCATTCCTTCGCATCCCAAAAGCTGCTCTATTGGACTGAGATCTGGTGACTGGAGTCAGTTTCAGTATAGAGCATTTTCAAGAAACCAGTTTGAGATGATCAGATCTTTGTGACATGGCCTGTTATCCTGCTGGTAGAGCCCATCAGAAGATGATACACTGGTCATAAAGTGATGGACATAAGCAGCAACAAGACTCAGATAGTCTGTGGTGTTTTAATTATGCTCAGTTGGTACTAAGGGATCCAAAGTGTGCCAATAAAATATTTGCCATACTATTACACCCTCAGCAGCCTGAACTGACGATACAAGGCATGATGGATCCATGCTTTCATGTAGTTTACACCAAACTCTGACCCGAGCGTCTGAAAGTTGCAGCAGAAATCGAGAATCATCAGACCAGGCAACGTTTTTCTTCTATTGTCCAGTTTTGGTGAGTGTGTGTGAAATGTAGCCTCAGTTTGTTGTTCTCAGCTGACAGAATCACCGGTGTGTTTCTTCTGCATGTGTTGTGAGTCCAGAGATGCTCTTCTGCTTCACGGTTTGATGTGTTTTGAGTCCAGAGATGCTCTTCTGCTTCACGGTTTGATGTGTTGAGTATTAAGAGATGCTCTTCTGCTTCACGGTTCGATGTGTTGTGAGTCCAGAGATGCTCTTCTGCTTCACGGTTCGATGTGTTGTGAGTCCAGAGATGCTCTTCTGCTTCACGGTTTGATGTGTTGAGTATTAAGAGATGCTCTTCTGCTTCAAGGTTTGATGTGTTGAGTATTAAGAGATGCTCTTCTGCTTCACGGTTTGATGTGTTGAGTATTAAGAGATGCTCTTCTGCTTCACGGTTTGATGTGTTGAGTATTAAGAGATGCTCTTCTGCTTCACGGTTTGATGTGTTGAGTATTAAGAGATGCTCTTCTGCTTCACGGTTCGATGTGTTGTGAGTCCAGAGATGCTCTTCTGCTTCACGGTTCGATGTGTTGTGAGTCCAGAGATGCTCTTCTGCTTCACGGTTCGATGTATTGAGTGTTCAGAGATGCTCTTCTGCTTCAAGGATTGGTGTGTTGTGTGTTCAGAGATGCTCTTCTGCTTCAAGGTTTGATGTGTTGAGTGTTCACAGATGCTCTTCTGCTTCAAGGTTTGATGTGTTGAGTGTTCAGAGATGCTCTTCTGCTTCAAGGTTTGATGTGTTGAGTGTTCAGAGATGCTCTTCTGCTTCAAGGTTTGATGTGTTGTGTGTTCAGAGATGCTCTTCTGCTTCAAGGTTTGATGTGTTGAGTGTTCAGAGATGCTCTTCTGCTTCAAGGTTTGATGTGTTGTGTGTTCAGAGATGCTCTTCTGCTTCAATGTTTGATGTGTTGTGTGTTCAGAGATGCTCTTCTGCTTCAAGGTTTGATGAGTCGAGTGTTCAGAGATGCTCTTCTGCTTCAAGGTTTGATGTGTTGTGTTCAGAGATGCTCTTCTGCTTCAAGGCTTGATGTGTTGAGTGTTCAGAGATGCTCTTCTGCTTCAAGGTTTGATGTGTTGTGTGTTCAGAGATGCTCTTATGCTTCACGGTTTGATGTGTTGAGTATTAAGAGATGCTCTTCTGCTTCACGGTTTGATGTGTTGAGTATTAAGAGATGCTCTTCTGCTTCACGGTTTGATGTGTTGAGTATTAAGAGATGCTCTTCTGCTTCACGGTTTGATGTGTTGAGTATTAAGAGATGCTCTTCTGCTTCACGGTTCGATGTGTTGTGAGTCCAGAGATGCTCTTCTGCTTCACGGTTCGATGTATTGAGTGTTCAGAGATGCTCTTCTGCTTCAAGGATTGACGTGTTGAGTGTTCACAGATGCTCTTCTGCTTCAAGGTTTGATGTGTTGAGTGTTCACAGATGCTCTTCTGCTTCAAGGTTTGATGTGTTGAGTGTTCAGAGATGCTCTTCTGCTTCAAGGTTTGATGTGTTGAGTGTTCAGAGATGCTCTTCTGCTTCAAGGTTTGATGTGTTGTGTGTTCAGAGATGCTCTTCTGCTTCAAGGTTTGATGTGTTGAGTGTTCACATATGCTCTTCCGCTTCAAGGTTTGATGTATTGAGTGTTCAGAGATGCTCTTCTGCTTCCAGGTTTGATGAGTTGAGTGTTCAGAGATGCTCTTCTGCTTCAAGGTTTGATGTGTTGAGTCGAGTGTTCAGAGATGCTCTTCTGCTTCAAGGTTTGATGTGTTGAGTGTTCAGAGATGCTCTTCTGCTTCAAGGTTTGATGTATTGAGTGTTCAGAGATGCTCTTCTGCTTCAAGGTTTGACTTGTTGAGTGTTCAGAGATGCTCTTCTGCTTCAAGGTTTGATGTGTTGAGTGTTCAGAGATGCTCTTTTGCTTCAAGGTTTGGTGTGTTGTGTGTTCAGAGATGCTCTTCTGCTTCAAGGTTTGATGTGTTGAGTGTTCAGAGATGCTCTTCTGCTTCAAGGTTTGACGTGTTGAGTGTTCAGAGATGCTCTTCTGCTTCAAGGTTTGATGTGTTGTGTGTTCAGAGATACTTTTCTGCTTCAAGGTTTGATGTGTTGTGTGTTCAGTCAGAGATGCTCTTCTGCTTCAAGGTTTGATGTGTTGAGTGTTCAGAGATGCTCTTCTGCTTCAAGGTTTGATGAGTCGAGTGTTCAGAGATGCTCTTCTGCTTCAAGGTTTGATGTGTTGAGTGTTCACATATGCTCTTCCGCTTCAAGGTTTGATGTATTGAGTGTTCAGAGATGCTCTTCTGCTTCCAGGTTTGATGAGTTGAGTGTTCAGAGATGCTCTTCTGCTTCAATGTTTGATGTGTTGAGTGTTCAGAGATGCTCTTCTGCTTCAAGGTTTGATGAGTCGAGTGTTCAGAGATGCTCTTCTGCTTCAAGGTTTGATGTGTTGAGTGTTCAGAGATGCTCTTCTGCTTCAAGGTTTGATGTGTTGAGTGTTCAGAGATGCTCTTCTGCTTCAAGGTTTGATGTGTTGAGTGTTCACATATGCTCTTCCGCTTCAAGGTTTGATGTATTGAGTGTTCAGAGATGCTTTTCTGCTTCCAGGTTTGATGAGTTGAGTGTTCAGAGATGCTCTTCTGCTTCAAGGTTTGATGTGTTGAGTGTTCAGAGATGCTCTTCTGCTTCAAGGTTTGATGTGTTGAGTGTTCAGAGATGCTCTTCTGCTTCAAGGTTTGACTTGTTGAGTGTTCAGAGATGCTCATCTGCTTCAAGGTTTGATGTGTTGAGTGTTCAGAGATGCTATTTTGCTTCAAGGTTTGATGTGTTGAGTGTTCAGAGATGCTCTTTTGCTTCAAGGTTTGATGTGTTGAGTGTTCAGAGATGCTCTTCTGCTTCAAGGTTTGATGTGTTGTGTGTTCAGAGATGCTCTTCTGCTTCAATGTTTGATGTGTTGAGTGTTCAGAGATGCTCTTCTGCTTCAAGGTTTGACTTGTTGAGTGTTCAGAGATGCTCTTCTGCTTCAAGGTTTGATGTGTTGAGTGTTCAGAGATGCTCTTCTGCTTCAAGGTTTGATGTGTTGAGTGTTCAGAGATGCTCTTCTGCTTCAAGGTTTGACTTGTTGAGTGTTCAGAGATGCTCTTCTGCTTCAAGGTTTGATGTGTTGTGTGTTCAGAGATGCTCTTCTGCTTCAATGTTTGATGTGTTGAGTGTTCAGAGATGCTCTTCTGCTTCAAGGTTTGACTTGTTGAGTGTTCAGAGATGCTCTTCTGCTTCAAGGTTTGGTGTGTTGTGTGTTCAGAGATGCTCTTCTGCTTCAAGGTTTGATGTGTTGAGTGTTCAGAGATGCTCTTCTGCTTCAAGGTTTGACTTGTTGAGTGTTCAGAGATGCTCTTCTGCTTCAAGGTTTGATGTGTTGTGTGTTCAGAGATGCTCTTCTGCTTCAATGTTTGATGTGTTGAGTGTTCAGAGATGCTCTTCTGCTTCAAGGTTTGACTTGTTGAGTGTTCAGAGATGCTCTTCTGCTTCAAGGTTTGATGTGTTGAGTGTTCAGAGATGCTCTTTTGCTTCAAGGTTTGGTGTGTTGTGTGTTCAGAGATGCTCTTCTGCTTCAAGGTTTGATGTGTTGAGTGTTCAGAGATGCTCTTCTGCTTCAAGGTTTGATGTGTTGTGTGTTCAGAGATGCTCTTCTGCTTCAATGTTTGATGTGTTGAGTGTTCAGAGATGCTCTTCTGCTTCAAGGTTATATGTGTTGAGTGTTCAGAGATGCTCTTCTGCTTCCAGGTTTGATGTGTTGTGTGTTCAGAGATGCTCTTCTGCTTCAAGTTTTGACGTGTTGAGTGTTCAGAGATGCTATTCTGCTTCAAGGTTTGATGTGTTGTGTGTTCAGAGATTCTTTTCTGCTTCAAGGTTTGATGTGTTGTGTGTTCAGTCAGAGATGCTCTTCTGCTTCAAGGTTTGATGTGTTGTGTGTTCAGTCAGAGATGCTCTTCTGCTTCAAGGTTTGATGTGTTGAGTGTTCAGAGATGCTCTTCTGCTTCAAGGTTTGATGAGTCGAGTGTTCAGAGATGCTCTTCTGCTTCAAGGTTTGATGTGTTGAGTGTTCACAGATGCTCTTCTGCTTCAAGGTTTGATGTGTTGAGTGTTCACAGATGCTCTTCTGCTTCAAGGTTTGATGTGTTGAGTGTTCAGAGATGCTCTTCTGCTTCAAGGTTTGATGTGTTGAGTGTTCACAGATGCTCTTCTGCTTCAAGGTTTGATGTATTTTGTGTTCAGAGATGCTCTTCTGCTTCAAGGTTTGATGTATTGAGTGTTCAGAGATGCTCTTCTGCTTCCAGGTTTGATGAGTTGAG